ACTGATTTAAAAAAATATAAACCATGTACTTTTGTGGAATACATGCATACATATATAAGAAATAAAACCACATATACGAATTGGAACTCTGCTATAACTAATATTTAAGTTTTCGAAACATTCACAACCTCCTTGCACTGCTCGATAACACTATTCTGTTCCGTATCACTCGTGGAGGAAGATGACGCCGTTGTTGTCGACGACGAGTCACTAGCATCCTCGCCACTCTCCGTACCGCCCTCATCGTTGCCATCGTCATCGTCAACATCCTCATCGTCTTCATCATCACCATCATCTTCTGTATCGTCGTCGCCTTCTTCCTCTTCACTGGCCGAGCTGTCACCCAAATGTATGTCCGTAATTAATTCCTTCAACAACTCAGTCTCAATTTCTCCCAAATCTAAACGTAAATGCTTCTTGCAAACATCTAGTAGGACGTTTTTCAAGTTGCGCGCCAGCAATCGCAAATGCGTCTGTCCACTGCTACTATTATCCGCGACATACCGTATATAATCCTCAATATAGTAGCGATTGAAAATTTCTTGATTGCAATCGCTGCTGGCGAAAATTGCATGTGTTTGCAACAATTGTTTCAATACCCACGCTGGATTTTTTTGCAAACCATCAATTGCATCCTGCACGCATATGCGCCCTAAATCATAATTCCGATAGAGTGGATAAATGAGCGAACGTCGCAGGAAACTAACTACAACATCTTTGATGCTTTCGAAAGGTTCAAAGTAGCTGAGCGTAGCTGAGAGTATGTTACGTGTCCAAGCACTTTCGCAGGTTGGCTCATTTGATGTGCAACTGTAAATGGGAAGCGATATTGAAAATTCACACACTAAGTACTTCATAAAATATGAGCTTACCGTATGTCATAGCAAATGGCCAATAGTATGCTTATAAGGCCACAGTCGACCTCAGTCTGTTCGTAGTTATAGGACAGTGTATGTTCTTGTGACTTCCGGGTCAAATTGTGCAGTAGACACTCTTCGTCGCGGGTTAATATGGAATCTAAAAAAGCCAGGATAGCATTTAGAAGAAAAAAGTTAGTATAGATGTAGCAGACAAGCATTAAAAAAGCGAATTTAATTTGAGAATAATATATGAACAAGTTACGCATTCGTTTATATGCTAAAAATATTAAACATTTCATACCTCCGAAGTTGTTGATATATTTCATTGGATTCTCATGTCCTTCGGGCACCTGCAACTCAACAAAATTCAATTTGTACTGGTCCCGTGAGAAATTCTTAAGTTCGTCTATTTCGCGATCTATGGTACGTTGCAGAGGACTAACCGTATGCGGTTCGGGCATACGCGCTACAGCAGACATGTCATCCTGCATCGAGACACAACTTATTAAAAGGTAAGTAATAATTTTTAAATGCAACTTACAACTCCAACCAGATTCTTTTTGAATCTTCCTGCAAAACCATAACCAAAATCTGCTTCAAATTTTAATAGTTCACCACCATTGTCGATTTGTAGTTGGCAGCTATCTGTAATGCGTTTTAATTTCCACAACTCGATTGAGGGAAATAGCGCGTTATCCGATATCTTTTTCTCAATATCACTTTTTTCTGGAAGCGCTTTTTGCTCTTCATTGTTACGTGGTAAGCAGGGCAAATTGACTTCGTAGCTACCCGTTTTGGTATTGAAATTGATAATCAGATTTTTCATATCTTTGGTATCGAATTGTCGCTCCGATAAATAGAAACTAGAAAACAAAAATTCATATAACACTAGTGCAATGAAATTATTAAAATGAAAGCATACCGGTGCAGACGCGTATCTGCATAAATATAAAAGTTGTGATCCTCTACGAAAATGTCACAATTGCGTCGATTTGCCGAGATGCATCGTTTGGCGTCGCCATCTCCCTCGCCAATAACAGCGCGTTTTTGGACTATCGCCACAATTTGCAGTCGACAGACGTTTCCATCGATTGTGTGTTGTATTGTGGTTTGTTCAAAAGTCATTGTAGTTCGAAGTAGAAATTACTAAAAATTTTCACAATTTTGAAACTTCTTCCCGGGAAAAACAACGGAAAAACACAGCCGAAGCGCAAAGCACATTTACTTTTTTTTCGTGACAGCTGATAAATATTTACGAATGTCAGCGTCAAGTGAATTGACAGAGAAGGAGAAGAGAAAGTTGTCAATTAAATAAAATAGGGTATGAACATATTTGACCTGGTGGTTACTTTTACTCTTTTAAATCGGTTTTAAATGGAATGGTCGGTGCAATTAAAATTTCTTAATCGAAGTACATAGGTCCGAGAACAAACGGGCAGTTTTTAATTTTTACTGAAAGTGCTGTCAAACAAATCAATGTTGTCGCATGACGCGATTTTTGGCGAATTTGTACAAAATTATAAAAATCTCGCAAGAAGATATCAAAAACTAATGTATTCTACTGATATGAAGTATTCAAGTTTCAATGCATTAGATATTTTGATAAGCAAAGAAATGTCTGGTAACACAGTTGAAAGTGGAACTTTCTGCTGTTTCATCGTCGCCGGGGATTCGGAATCTTGTATTACATCATTCTTGCTACCATATAGTGTTAATGTGGTAGATTTCAAACCTTGAGTGGTAGATGTGGTAGATACACAAAAAGGTGGCAGATCTATCACAATGTGGTAAACGTCCGATCATTGTATTGGACATATTGGCTGCATTTCTTTATTCATTCTGAACGTTTGGAATAAACTTTTTTGTTTATTTATTCTTTAGAACGTTCCTGATGATATGTTGACGTATATTTCAAACGCATTCTGTTTATTCCGGCTGTGAAATGGGATTATCCGGAATGTATAAAGAAACGCAGCCATTATTTTGTACTCAGCTACCCAATAACAATATGAAACCGGTTTTTATCACCCACCTGCTCTTTCGTTATATGCAATTTACAGGGTGGCCTTTGACGTTATTCTCAATGTATACCCAACACCCAGAGAAAACCTCTTATTTAGTTATATCGGTAAAGATTCAATCGTAAGACCCCTTTCAGCCACGTCAAGTCTTGATTTCAAGTCTGCTCGTTCGTAGGCGAAGGAGGTGAGACGAATGTACTCCTCCCCTCTCTGGGTAACTGGGTTTTAGCGAGTTAACTCAATAACTCAAGCTCCTATTAATGAGTCAGCTCAGTGAGGCGGCACAATTGAGCTATGGCACTCTGCTGTCGAGGTAACAGAGCCTAGAGTTGGTTAGCGCTGTTGTTAGCACTGTTCAGCTGATAAACGCTGTAGAGCTGGTTTGCACTGTAGATCTGTTACAAGGAATAGGGTTGATATGTGCTGTAAAGCTGATGAGCGCTATAGAGCTGGTTTGCACTATAGAGCTGTTAAAAGCAATTTAGTTGATATGTTGGGTGGAGCTGATGAGCACTGTAGAGCTGGTTTGCACTGCGAATTGTAAATTTTCACAACTACCGACTATGTGGCGAATATTTATTGAGTTACTGAGTCATAATTGACTCCGAGAGTGGGACACACTGCTGGGAGGCAGCTCAATAGCTTCTCTCAGCGCTCATTTACTCATCTCTACTTATTACCAATAGGAGTGTACTCGTACGCACAACTATCTAAAGTTTTAGAAAACTTTTACTGGTTTTGCGTTCTCGT